CCCCATCCACTGTCCTGGCTGAGCAATGCCCCCAGCCCCTGCCCCACTCCTTCCCTCACCATTGGGGCCTCCATTTGAGCCCCTCTCCCATGCCCTGTCCCCCACCATAGATGTACCTTCAGGGAGCTGCTCTCCCCAATGCCTGGCTCTATTCCTGGCCATGGGCATGTGTACAGGTATTCACATGCATGTGGCACCCCATACATCCCACTCCCAGCAGCCCCAGGCAGCGCCGTGCAGGCTGGAAGGCTGCCAGCCTGCAAGGGGAGACCCACCATTTCCCATCAGTCCCAGAGTCATGCAGCCTGGAACTGGGACTTGCGGTTCCCATTCTGGGACTGTGCTGCCCAATTAGGGATGGGTGGTCACCCTATACCCAAACTCTGAACCTCCTGGAGCACCTGCCCTGGGTGGCTGGAGAGTGTCTGCGTGGCTGGAGAGTGTACCTGCACACTCCTGCCTTAGAGAAAATAGATGTTTGCTGCAATTAAATGGTACCATGTATTACTATTTTTCACAGCCACTGACATGGTATGACTAAGGGTAGGGATGTCTATTTGCTTTCATTTGTGGCACCAGTAACAGTTTTATGCAGCATGAATGCCATGTGAGGTGAAGGTGGTTTCTACCTGGAGAGTGCAGAGCCCTCAGCATTCCCATGGGCCCTGGGCTGCCCTACTGGAGCGTATAACCAGTGATAACTGCAGCTGCAGGAGAGACCTGGTTGATGGAAATATGGGCAGCACCTGGTGCTGCTGTAACGGGGCAGTCCAGTTGGCAGAGCAACTCCCCTCATTGTCACACTTTTATACTATAATTAGCTACAAAATACTTTACACCCTTCATGAGATGACCATGTCCAAGCCTCCCCCGCTCATGACACCCCTGCTCCCCTGACCTCCCTCTCCCAGTGCCAGCCCAGCTCCTTCCCCTCTGTCTCTGGGCTGTGCCGTGCAAACCACTGCAGTGACCTTCGTCTTCCCACCCCAGGCTCGGCTCCCTCTAGCTTTGGTTGCACTGGTTCTGTTCTGTGGATCCCGCTCCCATAATCATCTGAAATGCCTGCCCATGCCAACACCCTCTTGATTCCTTGACACCTCTGATGGCATCAGCGTCTGGTGTCCAAATCCTAGAAGAGGAGGGTGTGGAGGAGGTCCCCAGTGCAAAGCTCTGCTCCAGGCAGAGTCAGCCCTGTCCTAGGAACCCCAGACAAAGGGGTGGCTCCCCTGTTCTGCCTCCAGCATTCATCCACACCTCTTACCTCAGATCTTGCCTTTCCTTTTATTTGCTTGACTGTTACAATTGTCTTGTCCCTTTTGGATGCTCCCGCCCGTGTCCCTTCACACTGCTGCCAGGTTCACTCTCCGTTCTCTGCTTGTGACGCCCCCCACTGCGACTGCATTTCATATCCCTCCACTTCCTCCTCATTTCCACCAGCACCAGAACATCTTCATTCTCCTCACTTTTAAAGTCTCTCATCAGGGCATCTTCTTTCTTTCTGACCCTTTGCCAGCACAACATCCTTCCCTTCTGGGCTCTACCAGTGACCACCAGAATCGGTTGCCCACTTCTGTGCTCACCCCCGACAGCGCCTTTGTCCAGCGCCCCCGGCCTTTACACAGCCTCTGTGAGATGCCCTCAAACCCTGCCCTGGTGCAGGATCGAGACTGTGTGAGCCAACGTCTCCACAGACTCTGAGATCAGCTCTTCAGGTCTCCCCACAGACTCCCTAAAACACGCTTCACCTGGCTCAACTCCTGGAGGAGGTTTGTCTCTTCAGCACCTGAAAAGGAAACAACAGGGACTGCAGCAAAGCAAGAAGCCTTTCTGTGGATAGCCTTGGACCCAGGAGACCCCCTTTGCAACTGCACTTTAACCTCCTGCCATCCTGACATGGATCCGTTAGCTGGTAGATTTAAGCCAGTTTTCCATCCGCCTCGTAATCATCTCCCCACATTTCTCCAGTGTGTTCCTTGGACATTATCAAAAATCTTTCTAACGTCCACATACGTTTTATCCACTGCATGCCCATCATCCACCCAGCTAGATATTCTTTTTATGGAGGTCAAATCAGTTTGGTGTGATTTGTTCTTAGCACCACCATGCTGGCTGCTCGTGATCAGCCTTTCCTCCCCCTGGTGCTTGCAAATGGACTTCTTGATAATTTCCTTGGTAACTCTCCAATATGAAGGTCAGGCTGATTGGTCCATAACTGCCTGGGTCCTCCTGTTGGCCTTTATTAGAAAGTGGGAATTGTTGGTTCTTTTCCAACCCTGGGAATGCTAAATGCCATGAGTGCCCTCAAGACTGCCAGATAATGACTACTTGGACAACGGGACAAGACACAGTGGTACCCCACGGGCTGTGGGCACTTTCCCAGGAAGCGAGAGGCCCAGGCTCTATGTTCTCTTCACTTACAGGGATTTTGATCCTGCATCACGTACACCCCAGAAAGTGCCTTAAGCACCAGTCTGGGGGCAGACAGCCCAGAACACGCTCCAGCCCTCCCCTTGCAGCTGGGGTCCTGGGCTGGCAACAGGGAAAGATGTGCCAGAGCAGGAAGAGGCAAGAAACCCAGGAGAGTGAGGCTGAGAGGTGGATGGTCCCTGTTGTGTGGGTGTGGGTGGGAGGTGCTGGCTTCTGGTCCAAAGCCCTCCATGGCTTTTCTGCACCTTGTATTCACGATTCAGTGGATAAAGTGGAGAAGAAGGGGAGGGCTGTTCTGCCCTGTCAGAAACACTGGAGAGGGCCCAGATCCTGGAAACTGCATGTCAGCCCAGATCCCACTGGGAAAATACAGGCGGGGGTAAGCATCCCTGTACAAGAGAATCGCTACAGCGTGTAAGGGCAAAAGTTGCACATGTGAGGCTCTGTCTGTGGTGTTCAGAAATGTAAAGTAAATGGACGTAGTGCAATGTCTGTGGGAGAGCTCGTATTTCAGTTCGGCTCACCAAAGATCAAGGCTAATGTCCCCAACACTTTAGCAAATTTTGACTTTTCAACGTGGGAAGAACAAACAAGGAGGTGGACTGATCGCACCAGGTACCAGGGGGAAATCGCATGTTCGTACTGACAAGGAGAAGAACTTCACAAGGACAAGGAAGACGGTGGAGACCCACATCAGGAGTCCCTGGCTGTGAGATAATGGGGAAGGGCTGTGACAGAGCGAAGGAAGTGCTGGGTGCAGGGTACGAATGTGAGCAGCATGTGGCTGTGCTGCTGTGTGTCAGCCGAGTCCCTGGGCTGTGGCTGGGCAGGAAGCAGCTGGTGCTGGGAACAGCAGGACCTGAACCGAGCAGGGAGCTTTTTGTACTGGGCTGTAGCACTGTGAGAGGGGTATCATCATGCTGCTGGCAGTAATAATCTCCAGCATCACCAGCTTCAACCCGGCTGATGGTGAAAGTGAAGTCAGTCCCAGACCCACTGCCACTGAACCGGTCGGGGATCCCTGAGGGGCGGTTGCTTGCTCTGTAGAGAAGGAGCTTAGGGGCCTGCCCTGGTTTCTGCTGGTACAAGGCCATCCAGCTGCTAACACTGGAGCTGGTTTTGCACTTGATGGTGACTGTGTCTCCTGGGGACACGGCCAGGGACTCTGGAGTCTGAGTCACAACAATGTCCCCGCTGGAGCCTGCAATGAGAGAAACAATTAACGTGGTACAAACAATTCAAATAAAACAATGAAAATTAAAGTATAATTGAGAAAGAGAAGTGGTGCTCTATTTTTGTTTGAATGTTTCTCCTCCTATGTTCTTTCATAAAACTTAAATGTATTTTGGCTCCCAAAAACTGTTAAAAGAAATAAGCAGTCTTATGTATGGATAAAAAAGACCACAAAATCCTATATAGTTCCAGAAGAGTCATTGAATTTTTAAAAATTAAAATTATTTTGCAAACATCTCTGCCCTCCTGCTGTCCTTACCCTGCACCCAGAGCAGGAGGAGCCAGAGGAGCTGAGTCTGCCACAGCATCTTGCTGCTTCTGCACCGGCTGACACGGAGCTGAGAGACACCAAGCGTTAAACCGGCCCCTTTATAGCTGCTCCCCAGAGCAGGGCGCAGTCACTGGGGCGGCCGTATGCAAAGCAGGAAATCTATGAAAATCACAGACCAGAGATCCCTGTGACTTTCCTATTCAGGGGTCTGGATACTTCTCTTATCACCTTCTTGGTACATGAAACCCCATTTCCTTCTGCACTTTCACTACCGGTCTACACGGGGGTCAGTTAGTGTCAGGTGCAGTTCGGCCTTTCCCTCACCACTGCCACTGTCTGGTTGTTTCTTTTGGTCAAGCTGCAGGGTCTCATCTGCTCTCTGATGATGCTCCATCTCACCCAGCGCCCCCATCCCACCATCCGCACTGTTCCCAGCACCCTCTGTTGCTTGCACATCCCCCCTCCCATGAGCTGCCACTAGCTCAGCGTGAGAAGGGGCCCTGCCTGCAGATGCAATGGAGCAAGCAGAGGGGATGCAGCGCAGCACCAGCCATGGCTCTGCAGGGCGGCAGGTGTTGCTCAGGTGCAGCCCAGCAAGCAGGGCCCTGGGGGAGACGGCCCAAGCCCAGACTCTGCACAGCCTGTGTCAGCCAGGAAGCCCTGTTGCCTTGGCCGGAGTCCCCCAGGCTCTGGGTCCTGCCCTCCCATGACACCACCACTGACCCCCTTTTCAAACCACCCTCCAAGACAGGGTTTCTTTGATCTCTACTTAGAACATGCCAGGCATCTGCAAGGACTTTCCAACCATGGCATGAATGAGATGTGGCTCAGGCGGGGATCCCTGCATGACAATGAACCTATTGCAATCCCAGTGCTCAATTCCTGTGCCAATACCAGTGTCCTTGGTGGCTGAGTCAGGATAAAAGTTCACCACCATGGCATGAATGAGATGTGGCTCAGGCGGGGATCCCTGCATGACAATGAACCTATTGCAATCCCAGTGCTCAATTCCTGTGCCAATACCAGTGTCCTTGGTGGCTGAGTCAGGATAAAAGTTCACCCCTATGGCGTGAATGAGACGTGGCTCAGGTGGGGATCCCTGTATGACAATGAACCTATTGCAATCCCAGTGCTCAATTCCTGTGCCAATACCAGTGTACTTGGTGGCTGAGTCAGGATAAAAGTTCACCCATTCCTTCCTCATGTCTAACAGCATCCAATCAAGTCCAGGAAACTAGAAGGGCACAGTTTCCCCCCAAATATGATGTGAATATATCGCAACATGATGTGAGGGGCCTTTTGCCAGGTCAGAGGTCCCAGCACGGAGCAGGGCTCCCTCTGCCCGGCACTGCCCACGCACACAACAGAATCCCGGCCCTCTTCCAAGGTCTAAGGGAGAATTTAAGAAAGACATTTGGGTGCCTAAAAAGAGATTTCCACACACCCATGGCCAGCAATGTGATGCAGAATCTGTCCCCCACCCTGCACCGGGACCTATGTTCACTGGGAAGCCTACAATTCGGTTTGGAAAGTTCCCACAGCTTCTTTAGCTTCCACTAATCTGGGCAATCCCATGCCTGGATCCCACCCAGTCTCCACCCTGAACGAGTCCCGCAGGACTGTACTTGAGGGAATATCTCCCAAATCCCATTTCTGCACTATGTGGCATGTCCTTGCTCCTGCAAATGACCCTTGTTGGCCCTTAGGCAGCATTTGCAGTCTTTTTCCATTTCTTTACCTCCATCCAAGCTGCGCTTGCTCTCCGAACACGCACTCCATGCACACTGGCTGTGGGTGGAATAGAGAGCCCCGGACAGGGCGTATCGCTGGGGAAATTGCAGAGACATTGGGCAATTTTACACTTGCAAGCACCGCAGCACCAGCTGTTTTTCAAAGAACTTGACTATGCAACACATGCAGTTTTATAAGCGACAAAAATGCATTTTAGCGCTGAGAAAACAGCATCATCTTGCTTTTGAACTAAAACACATGGAAGTTATTTTTTTTAGTTTAAATGAGCACCACCACCATTTCCTGCATGCTGACATTTCCCCACTGATACAACTGGATGCAATGGACCAAGGTGTGCATCTGTTCACATGCAGAGCAGACCTGCAGATTAATCGAGTCAGCTCCAAAGGAGCAGAATGTGGCACATCACAGGACCAAAAAGTCTGTGTATCAATGCCCATCAAGGCTGGCAGCTGTGGTAGGAGGTGGCACCCCAGCCCCTTCCAGCTCAGCAGCCGAGACCTGAGGGCACAAGCCCAAGGAGCGGGAGACCCAGATCCGAGGTTTCTTTGTTCACAGCACTCTGACCTGGCACCCCCTGCTCCCCACAGAAATGCTCTGTCGAAAAGGCCACAGCACCTGCCATCCCTCCATTTCTGGCTGCCCTCGGAGATGCCAACATCCCTGTGGGGCCAGAAGGAGGAGGGCTCAGTCACAGAGACACCGTCCTGGAAGAGAGTGGGCGATGGCCTCTGGCCCCTAGTCCTTGTGCATCGTGTGTCTAATGCTCGTATGGAAAAGGGGTGAAAAATAACGAGGCACATCTCTGCACTATTGGGCAGATCCTAGGCCTGTGAGGCCTGAATGCAGCCTTGTGAGCATGCCCAGAGAGACAGCACAGGGGTCACACATGGGGAAAGGCATTCAATTGTGTAACGGTGACAGAGGCAGGTCACACATGGGGAAAGGGATTCAAATGTGTAACGGTGACAGAGATTTCACTTCAGAAGTGGCAGAGGTGCTGCACTGGAGCATGCAGGTGCAATAGGATTGAGCCCCATGTCAGTAGATGTAGGACTCCAACACAGGTTCCCGAAGATACTGGGTACTCCCACATCCACCAAACCACATTTCCGCTTTCAGAGGGAGGTATAAAAACATGGAAATGTTTTAAATGGATCCTAACATCATGGGACAATGGCAAGTGTTTGTTCAGGACCAGCAGACCTTCACAATTAGAAGCAAGTTAATTGAGTCCCAAGTAAGGAATCACTGCCTCCAAGTTCATAGGAGAGATCTGTGAGTGAGAGGGAGAAGTGACAGGTGAAGGGCTGTGCCCGTGTCCAGCACCTGGTAATGCTGGAGCAAGTCAGACATCACTGGCCTTTGGCTGGGCAGGAAGCAGCTGGTGCCGGGAGCAGCAGAACTGAGCAGAGCAGGGAGGTTTTTGTACGGGGCTGTAGCACTGTGGGAGGGGTATTATAACTCTGCCCACAGTAATAATCTCCAGCATCACCAGCTTCCACCCGGCTGATGGTGAAAGTGAAGTCAGTGCCAGACCCACTGCCACTGAACCGGTCGGGGATCCCCGAGGGGCGGTTGCTTGTTTTGTAGACAAGGAGCTTTGGAGCCTGCCCCGGTTTCTGCTGGTAGAAGTGCATCCAGTTGCTAACACCTGAGGCCGG